TTTTTCAATGGACACGTGTATCGGATACGCGTGTTCTTTTGAAATTAAATAGTATTTTAATTGGATACGTCTTTGGTTTATTCGACACGTATCGGTGGAGTATCAGAGGTGTATCCGTGTATCGGTGTATCGGATACAACATGCCTTCATAAATAGGTGTATTGGTGCAACATAGATTGAGAATCAAAAGTGCACATTAGGATAATGTGTTTATAAGAGTAGTCTGTTGTAGCTAGATCTAGCATTGAAGCTGAATATAATGATATTTCCACTTGAAAAATGATATGGATTAAAACTCTTGTACATGAACTTATTTTTCCCATCTCATAGCTTATTATTCTTAGTTATAATAACCATATAACTATTTTGATTTTTCACAATCCTATCTTTTATGTATGAACCAAGCACATTGAATGGATTTTCAATTCATCAAACATGCTATCTTGTCAAAAAGAATGAGCACACCATATGATTTTACCAAAAATCAATGCTGATATCTTAACCAGGGCTCTCACACCTCTTTGTTTTCTCAGTCTTTGTAATAATCTAGAACTTATTGATATATGCTTCAACTTGAAGTGCAGTGCTATTATAGGGAAGTGCTAAATTTAAAAGGATTATTAAACTAGAAAGGTGATTTATGGATGTCATATTCTGTTTTATTTTCTCTACATGTACACGGTCAGTAATAAGATTCTTTGAAACATGTATATTATCATTTCATTTTCCAGTTATAGTTAGTTGATTTCCTTGAGACCTTTTGGTTTTTATTTCTAAAGATGTTTTACCGAATTCTTCATACGATGAGCAGTACATATCAAAATTTTAATCTTTTGCTCCACTCTTCTATTTTAGTAATATCGTTATTTAAATACCGTCAACAAGTCAGCCACATAATTTTGACAAGAATATGTATTTACAGATCAAGCAGTTGTAAATAGAGCAATAAATGACATATGCATACTTTTGAAGTGCAGTCGACATCATTTAAATGTGGTATGTGTCGGATTATGTAATTCTAATAGTATGAAACTAATTGTTTCTTTATGTTAAATATGTGATGAGAGTTTGTTTTTTGTTTTCTCAGCAATGAATCTTTTTTAAAAGATAGATTACTACTGTATCTACTTAACCTTCCAAACTTGTTTTTTAGTCTATTTCCTTCTGTTGTTTTTAAACCCGGTGCTTCAATTTTTCCTTTGTTGTAATAAAGTACAATTGATCAAGCAATTTAAAAAGTAGGATGATTGAACGGCATATGGAAACCATAAATTCATTATTTTACTTGTTATTTTGCTGATTAAAATTGTTGAGCCTGCTAAAAATATTATGAACAAACCATGTAATCAATACGTTGCTAATACTTACGAATATCATAAATCTTTTCTCATACACTTGAAGCCATCAGTCATGATATTTTTTCGATGAATGATAAAACAGCTTTATGAATGCATAAAATTGTATATGCTAATTGCTTCAATAATAATGACCTTGCATTCGAAGGCCATGCTAAAAAAATTAAATAAAAGGAGAACAGATATTCTTGTTAATCCCCATGAGCTTTATAAATAGTTAGTAAATCTTGTAAGTCTAAGTTAAGTAATTCCCTTGGGTGTTAAATTTTGTAAGTTCTTTGATATGATAGCTTTTTAATCTAGCTAAATTTTAGTAAACTATTTGGCAATTATTTTCAATAATGTGGGCTCTGAAAATTCGGCCCTGGCCTCCCCGTCGCTGATTTTGCTTTTTCTTTTCGGCGAGGGAGTTTTAACAGAATTAAGTTCTAGGGTAAATTTTGGAAGGCAGATGAGTTTGTAGATAAGACACTCCCTAGAGATTTCACCCTCATTTTACGAGGACTTTATGATCTGAGTTCTGATTTCCTATAGGCGCAAGCCCCTATAGTTAATTACCCCTCTCGATCACGAGAGAGAACTTTCGATTAAGGCTAGTCGTCAATCAGATACGTAGAGATACGCATTATCTGGCATATAGTAGCAGCAATGAGCTTAGGATTTGAAAGTTTGAAGGTTTGGATGTTTGGAAATTTGAAGGTTTTATATTTAAACTAGAAATTTTCACCATCTTACACTTAAAGCGGATGGTGGGGGAATGGATGATGGACCCGATGAAGATCTCATGGTTCCGTTGTCCCGGGTCATTGTGGTCCCTGGTCTACTTAGTCAGAGGAGGTAGTCGACCCAACCTAACAGAAGTATCCTTGTCCGCAGCCATGTGTTGCTTTGTCCAAGGGGACCTTATAGACTTGGGGTGAATATTTGCCTAAGGAGACAAATTTGAATCCACCTTAGCTAACAGAGGGCTTTGTGCCCTATCGATCATATCCTATTGATTCATATCTCAAGGATTTGATGCCAATAAGGAGCGTATTGGCTCTGGCCATAACTGGTATTTCGTGGTGCCATTTGGTGGCAAAACCACTCGGTTCAGAGGGCCCCGGGTTATAACCGTTTATCCTGCGGTGCCATTTGGCGGCAAAACCGCCGGTTAGAGGACACGTACCACGTCCTTATTGGAAGGAGATTATTTGAGAATGGATCATATTGATATTTTCGATTGAGCATTAGCTCTTTGTGAGCTGAAGTAAATTTTAATTTGTCCACCTCGGCAAACTGTTGCGGAGGGTGAATGAATTTTGCTTAAGTGATTTATAGTTAGATTTCAATTTTAAATATTTGAATTTTGGGATTTTATTATTTGTTGAGTTTTAGACTTTGTGGAGTTTGAGATTTTGAGTGGACTTGTGGGAGGCATTTTAAAAATAGTTGTGAACCCCTACGGTTGAGATCTGCATTCAACATGGCCATCATCAGGGTGACCTTGAGGTCATTTTCATTTATTGTTTAAACCTTGTCGACCCTATCAATTTGCCGATAGGGGATTGGGTTTCGTAAGCTTTATGCCCTTATGAGAGAACTTTCTTTATTAAAGGCATTGAATGCCTGATATGAATGTGCAAAATAAATATTCCGGTCAATTTCGTAACCGCTTATTTATTTGATGATTCGAACCCTGTCTACTCTTATTTATCTGCTTAGGAGGATCGGGTTTTGTAGGCTTTATGCCTTTGTTAGTGAATTCTTTTGATTATAGGACTTGAAGGCCTGATATGAATGTATTAAAATAAATACAACGATCTCCACAATCGTGCATTTGTTTGAAGGTCCGAACCATGTCTACTCCTATCGATCTGTATTGAAGGATCTTAAATTCACTTGTCGACCTGCGCAACATCCCTAGACGTCACGTGTGTACCAATAACACGCTCGTCGGGGCCCATGCAGGTTGAGATTATATTTTCCCCTTTAGTGTACCTATGTGTATACAATTTATGGTGCACGTGTAGTTTTATTTTGAACATTCAATGAGTCTTCTATGACATCTCTCAGAAGTCTATATTCATTATAGTGCTTATGTATCCATTTGTATGTGACATGTTTAATGCATAGAGAGTCTTCTACAATGGACCGTAGAAGCTTATGCTTGTTGTAATACTTCAATACTTGCATATAGAAGGTATGTTGGATGCACGACCATCTATATGATTTGATTTGGCTCTCTTCCCAGAACTCATATGAGGATTAATGGGCAACTCCTTGATTACGCCATCCTCATTATTTTCTACCATTGGCTTAAATAAAGGATCAATCATTTCAACCTTGGATGATTGCATTCTTCATGGTGCCCCATGCTTCGAAATCGTGGACCACTGCCTTGAACTGACGACTATAGCAATAGAAGATGCATTAAGCCATCTATCACACTCACTATGTGTTGACCTTCAACATACGTAAGCAGCTACAATATTTATCCATGAGTCGATTATCATTGATAATAGTAAGAATATCTTTCATGATGATTTCTTCCCTTTGCTCATAGGTAGGATACGCTTTCCATGCACATATTGGTCTTATACTTCCCATTGCTGGTCCCGAACAATCATCTATATGCAATACAGCTTTCTCCTCACATCGTCAGTTGATCCATACTATGAATGACAACATTATTACTATTGTCAATAGAGAATTACACTCTCTGACCAGTATAGCTTTCATGAATCAGTTTCAATACCCATCGAGGGTCTTGCATTATAGTTTGTAGGTAGGTTATCCCACTCCCTACAAGTTTTGATTTCTTGTGCATACTTGTTTGTACCATAGATCTATCAAGCTTGTTGGTACACACCATATTGTATGTTGGCATTTATATTTTGAATATCTTTTATCTCTATTGGAGATTTCATAATGTTTGTAAATATTTATCTGAAACTTCTGCACAAGTCTCTCATTTTGTTGATAATACTCCTCTGGATGACTTAGAGATGACTTGGATTCATCAATTATCTCTTTGTATATCAACCAGTGAACTATTGTATTCTTAATGTGACCTTGGTGTTAAAAGTGTTGTTGTAGGTATCACATTCATCCCTCTCTGCATACAAGTTGACTGGCAGGGTCATCACTTGCACTTGCCTCTTTCTTATTCATGGATTTCCGCTATGCAATAATTTTCAATGCTTGTAGGAGATTAAGATATTTGCTGGCAGTTTGATTTGCTGGTTGTAGAAGCATCATGGCCTCTAGTAGATTGTAGTGATATCATTGGATGAGACTCAGATGGATCCTCCGCTTTGATTATCATTCACATGATGATTCTTTAACCTTTAAAAGCTTAATGTTATGACTCAAATTCAAATTTCATTGAGTCATTAAGATTTGCATTAGAGATGAAGTAATAATTTCTCAGTTGTCCATTAGAAATTTGCATTTCTATTCAAATTAGGCATCTTATGAAATGTTCACATTAATTACATTAAAGCTCAAGTTTAATTAAGTTGTGTTCGTGCTCATTGTAGTCCATATCCAGACTCGAATTCGAGTTCAATCATAGTCCCCTGTGGTCCATTGTCACTTGCTTGGGTTCAAATATGCAAGCTCAAGTATAAGCTCTTTGAGTTTTCTTTAGTTCGAGTTCAGTACACTTTGAGTCTAACTCAAGTCTTACACAAGTCTTTCAATTTCGTGATCATTGAAGTTCAAATCAAGTTTCAAATTACTTAAGTTGAGTTTGAGTTTATTTAAGTCCATTTCGTTCAAGTCCGAGGTCACAAATACACTGTTCAATTGAGTCCAAATTTGGTCCGACTATGATCGTATGTTCACCAGAAATTTCGGCAGCCTCCCGACGTCTCCTCCGTTTAGGGGAAAATTACGGAAAAACTGGGCCTCCCACCACGCTAGAGAAAAGCGTGTACGGTATGTACCCTCGTACGAGGCACTGCGGCCGTGAAATCTATCCTCACCACGCTAGACAAAGGCGTGTATGGGTCTTCGGTACCTGTTGCAAAAGAGCAGTTGTTTCCAGGCGAGCAGGTACTTATGAATATTCCGGTCTCGTCATAGGCGCCGCACCGGGTTCCCATCTCACCACACTAGAGAAAAGCGTGTGTGAGCGGTTTGCCGGCTCGACACGAACATCGAGAATAGGATTTGGAACCGAGGGGTCGTTCATTTACCTCGTCATAGATGTCGCGCCGGGTTCCCTTCCCACCACGCTTGAGAAAAGCGTGTTTAAACAGTTTGCCGACCCGACATGCATATCGAGATAAGAGAAGCATCTCTTTTTTATTTTAATTAAATTAACCTTAATTAATTATAAGTAATAATAATTAAATTGAATTAATTATAAATAATTATCATTATCAATAATTAATTAAAAATAAAAATAATTAATTTTGATTAATCTTAATTATAATTAATTAGAAAATTATTTTAATTAATTATAATTAAAAATAATTAAATTATAATTAACTTAAGTACAGTTAATCAAAATTAACATAATTAAATATAAAATATATTTATATTTTATGTATTATATATATATAAGGAGGTCGGAGCGAGAGGTTGAGGGTCGGCGTCGGTTTGCTTGTGGGAGTTTGGATGGTGGTGCTAGGCTAGTTCAGAGAGGAGGAAGGG